AGGCCAGTCAATGCTTGAAGGTACCATGACGGTCCTAATCAATCTAGGTCTGACCCAGGACACGCTGAAACCAATATAAAGACTACCATGGACTTGCACTGGGCCCCCTGGTTACATGACATGGTAGATTGATTGTTACATTATCTCTCTGTGCATGCACCCCCTTTGCCTCTGCTTAAACCTGCTGTTTATAACATCTGTACAAGATGTCCTGCCTCACTGCTATAATCTAGCGGCAGATCCATCAAATGAAGCTTTCAAAGGGTCAGAGATCAGTTCTGGCTTCCATGTGAATCCTCTGCTTCTTATGAGCCAGACCCCACTTACGCAATAAACGTGATGGTTTTATGACAGAGTATAAAAGGACTTGAGCAGAGTCCCTGGCTCTAACCTTCTGCGGCTATCGAATCACACACCCCACCCTTCCTCTTCTAAAAAATAAATTCTGTGATGAGTCTCTCTCATTATTATTATTTTTACTCTTTCAGTTTAAAAACCACAATAAGATGAAAGGCACTTTAAAGTGGTTTGTGTAAAATAATACATCATGATTCCTGACAGTGTCAGGATAAATGCATTAAGAAATGTTTCCAATGGCATGTTTGAAGGAGAACACTGTATGCCATATCTTATGCTAGGTTTGCACTAGATTTTTTTTTTCCGTCTGGAGTTAATTAAGGATAAGGACCAAAAGACAGGGATCCAGGAACACACCAGTGTCTACAGATGTGTTAATCACCTTGAGATAAAGTCCAGAGTAGATAAGCCAAGTTTTTCAACTATAAACTAGTCAGCATGCAAGCGGCAAACCCAGTTCTATGCAGACTGCACCATGCACATAATTGAGGCACTATTCCTTGAAACAAGCCTCAGGCACCTTGGGGACAAGACTTACAGACCAAAAAAAATGGCGTGAAGGCTGCAATCAGCAGCCATGAAAAATTGATAGGGAAGGGTGTAGTTCTGTATTTCTCCTAAGCCTTACCATGCATTGCATGCTGTTGATTGGTCAATAGTTGTGCCAGTGCCCAAAATGCATCCTCTTCATTTAGGTACATCAGCAGGATGGCTGCGATCTGACTCATTCCTTGGCAGTAGCTCACTTCCTGGAAGAGCCCAGAAGCACACATGCTTATAACACAAAGCTAACTCTTCACTGGACTAAGTTGTGCCCATGCAGAAATGCAGCTTCCACAGTTTTCATTAGGCAAATGCAAAGCTTTGTTTAAAAACTCCAATACTTCACTGCTTTTGACTCCTGGCACAGATCCTTGTGTTCCTCATGATATGCTCTGAGGATGGGATATTCAAAAGCACATACATGCTTATAGCATATTCAGAAGCACAAATCCAGCTGACTTGCAGCGGGGTTCAGGCTCTTAAATCACTTAACACCTACACGTCTCACCCTCATTGTTGTAAGGCCTTGTACTGTTTTCCAAACTTCAAAGCTTCCCTTAGAATAAACATGTTATGCTCCTGGTATTCCATGAAAGGCTTTAACAATGGCTACTTTGAAACCTCTGGGCCTATCCATACTGTGATTCAAACCATGATAACAGCAGTTGATCCTAACTAGGGGTTAAGGGGGAGTTTTGCACAAGTTCAGGCATCTAACACCTGACATACTCAAAGTCAGTGGGTGTCCAACTGCTACTGGCTCCTCTCCCTGCTAACTCTGCACTGTTCAACTGCTAGATGGCTCCTCAGGGACTCTAACACCAGATCTGTATTAGGTCCAAGAAGCAATTTTTGGCAAGAAGCAATTATGTCCAAGAAGCAAATCTTCTGAGACAGGTTACCACCCAAAAGCCTTTTCAGTACTGAACACTGACGGGTTTTAGATCAGACTTTTCGTACTACTCAAACAGCCATGGAGGCTGCAGCCCCCATTCATTGAGAGGGCAGGTGAAGCAGCAGAGTAAACTCCCCCATCTACTTCTAGCTCAAATCTGGAAGGACCACCTCTACGGGCCAGAAAGCAGACCATGATCCAAGGCCTCCCAGCTGAGGAAACCAACCGGGAGGCCAGATATATGTGGGAAGGATATGGACGCTTGCCTTTGGGAACTAAGCTGGGGCTACGATCAGGTCATTTCATGCAGCCTACTGCGGAGCAGCTGACATTCCAACTTTCAATTGCTAGATGCATGAATTTGCACCAAAGACCTAAAAAAAATGGCAGAGCCTGACTGGGATGAACCTGATACCCTGAAGTGTCCTAAGAACTCAGCTGTTTCTTTCCTGGTAGAAACGGCTGGTTGTGACAAGCTCTGTACTGCTGGGGTAAACCTGCTAGCTTTAAGCCAACTGCCTTATTTTGTTGGCAGTGTGAGGCAAGGAAATGTGAACATGAACTGTAAAGATTCATTCACAAATAACATGTGCAGCTATTTCAAGAAATGCCATATGGGATAATAAACAGCATATGGCTCTGCTGATATCTGGGATTTCTTTAAATGTACTTGTACCAAAATAACTTAAAGGGAAATCTGGTAGCCCCTTATATATGCTGGGAAAAGAAGATGTACTATTATTTTGTCCACATGCCAATCCAGACCTTCTGGATTCAGCATTCACCACTGGTGGAGGGAAGCAGCAGACTCTGTAGCTAATTTAACGATATTCTCCACTGATTCACTGTAATGCATTAGGCTCTTTAACTACGAGGACAGAACTCAATACAGAGCCAGGAGTGAAAAAATGGGGAGATTGTATTGGGATAGAGGGCAGGATTCATAGGAAAGTCACATAGGCAAAGATTATGGTAACGAGTAATTTCTTATCCTGCAATGATACCATCCAAATCAAATCTTTGGGATGGAATGACCAGAAAGTCCTGAACCTACTGCTCGCTCTGTGGCTTTTACGTTTACTGTTTAATGTGCAAATATATCCAATCGGAGCTCTATTCAAACGAGCATTTACTTTCATCAGGACTTTAATTGGAAGGTCCAAACTATGGAAGTCAAGAAAGAATTATTCAGAATGTCACTAAAAATCTTTGCCTCTGGTACACTTCCTTGACCATCACTGCAACAACACTGCTTCAACCCTACTACGACATGGAATTACTCACTTTCACTTGAGCCAAGAGCTTACACTCACCGTGTTGTAAACAGAGTAGGCTGACAGGACATGAAACAGTTCTTGTTGCCTACACAGAAAGAGAGGGTGGTAAAATTTCATAATGTGGGGTGTTCATTTTGCACAGTCAAGAAGTATTTCACAGAAAGCAATAGCTTTTGGCTTTGTTTGCTTAATCTTCTGCTGAAATAAAGCAAAACTCAGGGAATGAAAAAAGGTCATCCCCACCCCTCTGATTGTGAGGAAGGTTTGTTTTTCTTTTTTTCAGCAGAGGAATATCACCAAAACCCCATAGCAGCGCTAGTCCATCAGAGCAACGGGTCTGCCCAGAGGACACCTGTACACAGTTTTCGGCACCCTCCCATCAATTGTTTCTGACAGTCCACTGTTAGAAGCTACAAGACCCAGAAAAAACAACATCCTTTTGGTATTTCCTCTCACACCTTTATTGCTTGTTCAGAAGGAGCTAGGGCACAAAAAATGCAGTGCAGCAAACAGGGATTTAGCAACCTGACTCTCAGTAACATGAGCCAGTACACGCTGCAGCTTGCACCTGGACTGAAAATATCACCACCTCATGTACCTGCAGCATACCAGAAATATGCACATATGTTAGTAAATCAGGAGAAATAAATAGAGGGTCAGGGCATCAGTAATTGTAGGGGGAAGAGGGGAGCGATTTCTCTAACAGTTTCTACCACCAGGTTACAGTTCCTTTCCATGAATGCAACTAAATCTTTTCAGCTTCAGGAGCAGGAAAGACCTCTTTCTCCTTGCCACAGCCCTAGAGATGCGTTTACCTGTCTTCATTTTACACTCCCTGACTTGGGGCCTGAAGCCACATGGCTGAGATTTAGACTCCACTCCTCTTAGGGCCACTCACTGCTGCTCCTTCCTCAGCTCCCTCTGCCCTCAAGCACCTTGCCTCGGCACTTGTTGCAGCCCCCAGCTATGGGAGCAACAGCATCGCAATGCACCTGCCTGCCAAGCAGCTGTTTTACCTCTTCCCTGTTAGTTGTGCTCTTGAGACCACAGACAATAAGCAATGGTGACTGCACCATACATCCCTCAATGCTACGGGCCCAGCCCAAGAGATTCCTGTGAGGAATCAAACCAGCTGCGATCCTCAGTGAAAGACATGTCTCATAGGTCTGGGAAGGACACAGGTGTTTCAGGAACCGTGGCTGGATGCAACCTAACCTGGAATTAACCATGAGATACTTGACACAAAGCTGGTGATTTCAGACCAGTTCCTAGCAGAGAGGAGTCCACACCAAAACAAACCAACAAAACAAGCCTATGCCAGCAGATGTACAAGCACAGACACTGGTTGGGCATGGAGACAGGTGCCTTTTCACAGCTACAAGTCTCTGAGGCACACTGGCAGATTGGCAAGTGTAGGAGGGGCTGATGATGTTCCAGTTGCAGTCTTTGTTCTGAAGCCTGAATATCAGCTCTGCAGGCTGTCAAACTGGTACGTTTTTGGGGTGGTCAGGTCAGGGATCAGACCAAAGCAATGACCAGCAAAGAACCCAGCTAGGAGCCGGGTGACCCATACTCACTTGACTCCGTAGCGATCCCGGAACATGATGTGATTTCGAAAGGTGCGGTTGACATCCAGATCTATCTGCTTGATTTCTGATGAGAAGCTCTTGGCTTGTTCTTTCATTTTCTGGAGAGAAGCGAGGGCACAGAAAAGGAAACTATTAAACATCCTCAAATATAATCTCTGAATGTAAAGCCCTCCATGGAAGAGGACAACAAGAAACAATCTGTCAGATTACAGAGCAAAGGCAGAATAAAGAACAGATTTTATAGGGGTGTAGGTTGTAGCTGTGTTGGTCTAAGGACATAGGCAGACAAGGTTCTTTGGGCGAATCTGATAACTTTTATTATTTGACCATGATTCTTAGAGTGAAAACCAAGCTATAGCCTATGAATTATTAAGGGCAAAAACACCCTGTGGTATGTCTCTATGCTTCCTCATGTCTTCCCCAATGATCCTGCATTCAGGCAGGATGCAGGGTCATTCATTTTGTGCACAGTGAAGTTTGAGAAGCTGAGATATTAAACAAGGCCTGGTCCCCTCCATTACCAACTGTTACTACAACACAAGTACAGGAGTGGAAATACAAGCCAGACTGTCCAGTAGATGTTGACTAGAGACATCCTCTACTGCATAAGTTCAGCCTTAGAAGCACTGAATACGAAGCTACTTAACCCTATGGAGGCTGTCAGATGAGAATACCAGGTATGAAGAGAAAATGTGTCCGTCTGTGCACTGAGGGCACGCCAGAAACATTTAAGACAGGGGTGTCAAATATCTGGCCCACGGAGCCCAATCATCTAGCCCATGGTGCTTGATGGCCATAGGTCTTGGACTAGACTGCACGCAGTCAATACTGGCCCCAGCCCCAGGCCCGTGTGCTGCACACAGGGCCAGGGTGGCCTGGGGCATGCACTGCACACAGAGCATGGCGCCAGTATAGGGCACAAGCTGCATATGGGGCCAGGGCCAGGTTTGGGTACATGCAGCATGCAATGCCTGCAGCAGACTAGCCCCATGCACTGGATCCAGCATGTGGGACTCATGTAGACCCCATCCTGCCCCATGGAACCTGATGAGTTTGATTGATTTAGAAAATGTCCCTGCCTCGGTCCCTCTATACAGATGAATACATCCTAATGTTCTGTTCAGCGGTACTTCCATTAAATAAATCCCACCACCAAGATACCACTGTATTGCACAGGCAATGCAGGGCTGGTGCACAACACCCCTTTGAAGGCTTCCTTGTTATGGAATTACCCATGAAAAAAGGTGAAGCTGGTATGCTCACAGCACTGAAGTCTACACCATTATTCCCAAAGAAAAGCTCCACACAAATGCCAGATCTCTGACTTCCTGGGACCACTTCAGCAAATTTTGGAATGAAATATTTCTATTTTGATCTGCATTGTTTGTAAATTCAGACCCTAACCTCTTCAAGGAAGGGGCTATGCTATATTCTGTATCTAATAAACATTAATGTTGCTGTGGCTGCTTAAACAAAAACACATTTATTATTAATATGCACAGCTCTCAAGCTAACAGAAGAGATTCCCCTAAAGTATTCATAGGCTAAATGCTGTGCAGGGCAAGTTTTTATGGCTCAAGCTGCTCTATGAATTGCTCTCTAATTTCAATACACCATCTCCCTAGAGAAACAAAGACATCTTAAGCTTATCAACCCATCCTGGGACTTCTTTCAAGTAAAGATAATACTGAATCATAAAGACCATTTCTGTGATATACACAAGGACTAGCGCACAGCTAAGTAAACTAAAAGAGCTAAGAAGCAAAGTAAAATGCATAGAAGTGGCCACTGGCCAATTCTCTACCACATAGGCACCGAAACACCAAGGGATGATACTCACTAATGGAAAGTGGGGGGCCTTACTGCAATCAAAGTAACCGATACAATGTCCACCCAACCCTGGCTCACACTGTGAAAGCCCCAAATTCTTATTCTACCTCATGGAAGAATATCCTCCTAGCCCACGAGTGGGAAATTATTTTGGCTGGAAGGCCACTTAATGAGTTTTGGGGACCTACCAAGGGTCATATTCATTTCTGTGTCTGTCTCTCGCTGTCTCTCTTCCCTCTCTCTGGGCGTTTCTACACATTTATTAATGTGCCATAGTTACTGTGCATTATGTTTAGTACCTTTATTACCAGGTACTAAATCAATGCATAGTAACTGGCACTACTGAGCATAAGTACACTGTCTGCCATGACATGCTAATGTGCAGTAGAACTTATCTACTGCGCATTCGGCGTCTTGTGTAGATGCACCTTCTGTCTCTGTCTCTTTCTCTTTCTCTGTGTGTGCATGCATCTCTCTCTGTCTGTGTCTCTCTCTGTTTCTCTCCCCTCCCTTCCTTCCCTCCCTTCAGAAGCCCCAGGAGCCCTGATGCTCAGCTGCGGACCCAGGCAGGAGCTGCTGCCGTGTTGGGCAGGCGGCAGTGTCAGCTTCAGCCAGGTTCTGCAGGGAGGGAGGGGGAGCGAGACAGAGTGATGCTGGCACCCACCCAGCACAGCAGCAGCTCCTGCCTGTGCCTGCAGCTGACGCCGCTGGCAGGTTCCAGGTCAGGGCTGTGGTGGGAGCTTCCACTACACTGGGAAGGTGGCAGGTCAACTGCGGACGCTATGGGCAGGTTCTGCATCCAGGCTCCTGAATCTGCCCACGGTGACCAGAGCTGACACCACCACCCACCCACAGTGTGGACTGGAGGCTCCACCTAGGTCCACAGATGATGCCTGATGCTGCTGGGCCAAAGCAGTCCCACTTACCCAGCTGCCCAGCATCACGCAGTAGCCAGGGCTGCCCATGCACCAGATCCAGTGAGTTGGCAGCTGTCCACCCATGGGGCCAGACTGAATCCGTCGATGGTCTCAATCTGGCCTGCTGGCCTTATTTTGCCCACCCCTGTCTTACCCCCAGATATGGTACTCAGTGTAACCCTGTGCACGGCAAGCAAGAATTACTTTGCCATCTTTCAGTATCCAATCTCATGTGTATCCCTTAAGTACCATTGATGACCACATAATTGCCTTTCTTTTGAGCCCCCGGGGCTATTCCATTAATAAAATATGTTCTGCAACCAAATTTTCAATTGGGCAGAGATCCATTTGCAGGGCAGGACATGCACAGCCAAACAGGAGATGAACAGAGGCCATGCTGGAGCCAGGCAGTGGGACTCCACATTACCACAGGGGAGACAGGCTTAGAGCATTAGTAACAGATACTCCTTTCTGTAGTAGGGAGCCATTGCTTAAGAGGGCTGCAAAGCCAATTCAAACTGCCTGCAAGCCACACCACCTTGGGGTGTGAATGGCAGACACATCACAAAGCTGTAAGGCTGTGAGCTATTGCTTTCAGCATAAGGGTTTATTAGCTTTGCAGATCACACACACCAAGATGAGCATTTACTTGTTCATGCAAGTGATGGGCTTTTGAAGCTGGTTCCCTCTGCTTAGTTGCACTCTGTTATTTAGCCCTGCAGGGCACCTAAATGGATATAGGAATGGCAGTCACTAGCTGGAAGTGCTGACTGTAAAGTTACTGTGGCCAGTCCCGTCCCATAGTGTTTTTATAAAAAAACTGGTAAAACTTAACATATGTCTAAATTTCTTCCCTATGGCCAACTACTTTTCTTTCTGCCCTCTCTGACCTTGCAAAAGCATCCTGCTGGGGAATGAGGTTCCATGGCAAAAGTCACCTAGGAGATCAGGTCTTCCAAGTCATGTTTTTCCCATCCTCTCACTCCTTTATTAGCAGCTGAACCCAAACACTTGCGATATGAATATCTCCAGGGACATAACAGCTTCATGGGCTGTTCATGCATCCAAATCTAAAACTACTATCCCTTGCTTCAACCTGGGGTATGTAACAGAGCATTCTTGGCATTTGGGATATTCTTCCTTGTAGTTATGGGTGAGGGCTTGAAAAGAGAAACTGGGGGATTCTTTGAGTCAAGTGCCCATCAACACAGGGGACTTTGCATGCTGGCCCAGAAGCCTCTTCCAGTCCTCTTATTCCTATTACCAGCTACATTAAGCCCCAAGTCAGGTGGTCACAAGACATGGCCTCAAGGCCCACCTGTGGGATGTGGCAGTGGCAATGCATGAGGGCAAAAAGTTATGAAGGGATACTGGATGTACCCGCAGAGAAACATGAGCACTAATCTGCCTTGGTGGAGGAATACAGGGAAAGCAGGTCCTAACCAGAATCTATCCTGAGACCTGGCCTCTAGTCCTCTTGTGAGCAAAACTGAAATGAGAACTAACTGCCCACGCTCTGTTTAGGCAGTTAGGCAACCTCCTTGTGACTTGCATTTATTCAGATTCTTCCCCTGGCCATGCAGCATGGCCATCCTGGACCTTCCTGCACCCTCTGTGATACGAGTGACAAGATGTCAAATTATAACAATAGAGAAACTTAATTATCCCTGCCCACTAGAACAATCTCAGTCCCACATTCCTGAGAGCCTTTCACGATTAGATGCCAGCAGGATTTTGCTATTAATATCTCTGCTTGACTAACAGTAATGAGCATTAACATTATCCTGCTTAAGAGGAAGAGAGAGATCAGACGCACTTGAGCCTACTGGATGTGACACTTAAGTTGTGGCCTCTATCGCATTAACACTGCTGGGTGGTGCTGTGCAGGCTTTACTCTGTTGTTCTGATTGCCAAGGAATAGATAACAAAGAACATTCAAGCAGCCCCCATACACTGAACAGCAGTCCTGCCAGCACTAGCCAGATGGGGGAAGATCACTGGGAGGTGCTTTCCCCTCCCCAAAGTTAGTCTGCTGCCCCTGCAGCACTCTCAGTTTCTAATCAGTTCAGAGAGAGAAGACCAAATGATCCCCAGATCACTCTTGCTGGGCTGACAGGTTCAGCTGCTCTGTAGCAGTGCTATCACCTGCAACCTGGTTATATCTAGGCTCATGACAGATGACAGGCCTGGAAGCAAGAGCTTTTTTGCTTTTTTTTACTCCCAACTACAGAGCTGGTCCAACAAAAAATATTACTAAAAAACCTTTGTTTCACCCAGTGAGATAAGAGTCCTGTGATGGTGGATTATTAAGTTGTCCATCTTTCTCTATCTATGGTCTTGTTGCATACTTCAAAATGTCACCTCTTTGGGACAAGGACTATTTTGCCCTGTGTTTGTATACCACTTCACATAATGAGGTCCTTCCAGGTCTATGACCAGGGCTCTTAAGGGCTCTGGTTATATAGACCAGGGTTGGGCAAAATGTGGCCCAGGGGCCAGATGCAGCCCACCAGGCCATTCTATCCAGCCTGCGGAGCCCCTAAAAAATTTAGAAAATTAATATCTATCTGCCCCTATATGCCTATCATGCAGCCCTCGATGGCTTGCTAAAGCTCAGTAAACGGCCCTCCGCCCAAAATAATTGCCTACCCCTCTTATAGACAATAAGTAAGTAAAGAGGGGTTACTGGTCTCGCAAATCAGTGAAATTCACATTAAAAAAAGATTCTGCAGAATAGCCAACAGGCTTACAGCAAAAACATTTCTACTACAATCAGACTCTATGATGATTTCTCATTTCATTACTCATTCAAACTGTGTATATGGATGTTGTTTATTTCACAGCAAACAATCCTCAAGAGAGTCAGCTTTGTAAAGTGATTTAATGGGAAGGAACAGAAACAAGGCTTTTCCTATGTGCACAGGATTTCCTGTAAATTGAAGGATTTTTAATAGAATGCTTCAAGAGGATGTTTCTATAAAAGGGCTGAAGAGTTGAAAATAATAAGAGCCACTGCAGTCTGAGCTGTTAGGATGTTGTGAGCACAAGCAAGTTTCAGCAAAATAGGGCGTGTGTGTTTTGCAAACTAGACCCCCTAAATTCACTAACTGTCATGCATATTTTTAAGAGCATGATTCTCCTCTGGCTTGAAATAGATCAGACTGCTAAAATACACCCTCTCAGTGTCAGTATAAAAATTCATCCTTACAACTCACTGTGCACTTAAAAAAGAAAAGAACACCACCCAAAATGTTCAAAAGCACTGAAAGATTTCAGGCATCTTGGTTTTTAGGGAGCTGAATCACTTTACAAAGGGATCAGAAAATACTGAGCACCTCCCCTTTCAAGGCATCTCAAGTTGGACACCCAAAATACTATTCACATTTTAAATTTCTTGAAAGTTGAAATTATTAATCTTTTCTCTGGAGATGCAGTGATTTGTAAAACTTCTGCCTGGCAGCCACCTTGTAATCAAGGCAGAGAAATCAGCATGCAGGACCTTACTGGGAGTGGTGGGGCAACAGGTAAGAAGAGTTTAACCATTTTATTTTCAGTCCTTGTTGTCACTTTAAAGCTTTCCTTCACAACATTCTCAGCTGCAAATGGGATAAAAACCCGTCTCCCAGATCTGTGGTAGTAAGGGAAACAGAAGAGAGAGTAACAAGCAGCAACTCAATAGTGGGATACAGCACGAGGTGTGAATACTCGCTGGACAGTATTTGTTACACCAGAGGTTTCCAAGCTTTTTAAGCCCACAGGCCAATGTCAATCCTCAAATTCATCACATACCTCCCTCTTGCACCCTTCAGGTCAAACTTTTAATTTGTAGGGATGGGGGAGGGACAGATGCAATCTACAGACCACAGTTTGATAATTACTGCACTATGAGGCAGGGCACAGGCTGCTGTCCCCCACTCCAAGAGACCACATACATAAACCGTCGGCTTTCTGCACACTCCCACTTCAGAAGACTCCAGACACAGACCCATGGGCGACTGATGACACCTTGGGGGGGGGCGGCTGGGCACGTGCCCTCCCAGCATCCAGTCAGCAACCAGGGGGGGTCCCCCCGTGGCAAAACTCGCTGACCCGAAAGGGGCTGCAGCACTCCTGGAAGTGGCCACAGCGGCACTACATCCAGCACTCCCGCTCCCTGGCCAGCGCTCGTGGGGGGGCACCAGCACTCCCATCTTCCCCGCTTGTCCATCTCCTAAGCAGGGAGTGCAACTGGTCAGGGGGTGCAACAGCACTCTCAGGGGCTGCATGTGCACTCCCTATATGTTGTCATTGCACAGACCCTGTGCTTCTCCATCTCCAGTGTAGTTCATCCTGCTCAGGGAGCATGCAACTTGAGAGGCCCCTTGATTTACCCTAGCCCTATCTTCATTCATTGCCATCATACCTCATACTTCCCTTCATTTGCCTGCTTCACATTCTCGATGTCCAGCAGAAGCGACCAGACCTGGCCTCGCACCTGGAGGGGGATCCCTTTGTAAACCCTGCGGCACATCTGCAAATCAAGAGGAAAGCGAAACAAAGTTAGTGAAACAAGTCTCCAGGAGTGGAGTAATTTAACCACACAATCGCTCCCTAAACAGAGCATCTTACAGATGCCATTCAATAGGGACATGACTGGGAAACCAATGACCCATCACAGTCTACTAATAGCCCTTAAGAGATCACTTCCATTCATGAGGAGGAGCTCTCCCTTGGCAGTAAGAGTTGGGAGCATCTTGACTCTGGTTGTTTTTTCTAGATTTTGCATGCTGTATGGCCAGAGGCAACCACCAAGTGGATCAAGGGCCAAGAAAGCTAAGACCCAGCTCTGCCACCCACTGGCTGCAATATGTTGGCCAACTCACTTCACCTGACCATGCCGCACAGGCATGTTTACCAAAATTAAGATGCTACCTCCTTCTCTCCAGAGGCTGAGAAGGTCCCCATAAATGTTCAGTGTTAATACCCAGTATCAAGACGCACTGTTACCAGAAAACAAGTTTTGCTTGGAATATTCATGTTTCTTGGAAGAACCAGACCCCAACTTCTACGCATGGAGAATAGACCCCAACTTCCCCCTATTCCAGATGGAGAACAGCTTGTGTATTTGATACATTACCAGCCCACCCCCTTTCTCTCCCAAGAAATCTGCATGGAGCTGATTGCACAGGGGTGGGAGATGCAGTCAAGGATGGCAGTGGTCTAGGAACGCACAGGTTAAACCAGAGATCTTCATGGCATGTAGGGAGCAGGATTGCTGCTGCAGGGGAAGGCAGAATCCTCAGTGCCTCCATGTGAATAGTCCAGAACATCCCCTCTCTTCTTCATAAGAGAAAATGCTTCTCCTGTGGGACGGGAGGGCAGCACCCAATCCTCAGATACAAAACCTTGGGAGGTGCTAATGGAGATTCCCAGACAAACAACCTGGTCCTGCCTATGGCTTTTGGCAGGGGAACTGAACACAACTACTGGGAAGGAAGTAAAACTGTGGCAAGAATATTTCTAACACAAGGGGGGAAAGCCTGTGTCTGTACATATCTGAAACTGCTTTGTTTTAATCCTTCTTTTGCTTCATTTATAAAGCCACCCCTTGCTGAAAAAAGATCCCTAAGCAAAGGACAACAGAACAACCTTTTAAAGAAAGTTAAGGCCTTATTGTTCCTACTAGAAACAGAGAAGTTGTTTGTTTTTTAAAAAGGTCCATTCCTGAATATTTTCTCCTCCTCAGTTCTTCTCACCCTCAAATTGTCTTCCAGATGCACTGTAAAGCCAACAGCATTATTATTTGCAGTTAAGGAGTCCTTCGTGCTTTCTTTTATCTCAGTATGCTGCCCAAAGTCTACTTCTGTCACCCATTTGCTTAAATTCTGCCTGCTGTTTCCACAGGCATTTTTCTGCTCTACAGGATGGTGTTGGTAAAGGCCAGCTGCACTATGCTTGTCAATAAGGTTTTGCTAGGCTCATGAACAGAACCAGATGCAATTTTCTATTTTCCTATTGACATGCATCTTGCATAAGATCACTTTTATGGGACCATTTTCCTGCTTCAGATTCTGAACTTAACCAAATTTGTATATCGCACTAATAAAGAGAATATGGAGCAGATACGTGTTCCATGGCCTGCAGTTTCCAGGCAGCAAATGCACTTATGACTTTGCAGGATCCACTGTTTAGGTAAACCCCTCACTGGTTGTGCTCCTCCTGAATTAAAAAGTCATGAACTCACATTCCCATGTTTTGTTGTTATATATCTTGAAGTAGTGCCTAACCATAGCAGTCAGGATCCAAGACTCCACTGGGCTAGGTGCTACAAACCCAGAACACAACAAGAGTCCCTGCTTCATGATGCTCACAATCTCAGTGTATATGCAACACATGACAGTAGGTGGATGCAAGCAGACAGATCAATGGGAAAGCACCTGAAAATAATGAGGTCATCATACCTGGGTTCAGGTTCATAATGCACGAGGTTTCCCCAGCTGGTTGAGGTGCTAAGACAGAAGTTATTTCAATTAACCTGTAGTGGAACCCAGATGATTTCAGGATACTCAACATGTCTATAGGTCCCCAGAGGGCACTGCAATCCTCAAATGTTGTCAGCTCAGTACTTTTATCTACTGTAAATATTCACAAAATGCCTGCCCTACTTCTAAGTCTGATCTACAGATACTTCCTACCAGGTGCAGTGGAACAACTTTGAGCATCCATGATGTTTTTGAAGTATCTATGCCTGGACAGTAAGTAAGCAACACACCTAGTGATGAGCATCTGTGGACTTAAACATGCAAACACTGAACAAGAACATAAAAACAAACAGCACAAGGGCTGTCCAAGGGTAATTTCTATCCCATCTGAAATATAACTGGGGAGCCTGATATTAAGAAAGATATCATCATTCCATACAGTTCTGGTTCATTATCTGTTACTTTAGACCAGGCACTTTCCTTCAACTCCAGTTCTTTGGGGAACACTCAAGTAAAAGCAAGCATTGACTAGAGGGCTAAGAGCAGGATTACAGCTGTCCTCACTGAAGACAAGGTTCTTTGGATAAATACGATATCTTTTATTAGACCAACTCAAATAGTTGGAAAAATTATTCTTAGCAAGCTTTCAGGCACCAACACTCTTCATCAAGCTGAGGAAGCATATGTGCTCTTCCTGGATGGAGTGGTAAAGCAGCCAGAGGCCAGTACATATGCAAGAAAGCCAGTCATCATTTCACAGTCTTGGCCCAAGCCTTACAAAGGCTCCATCATCATTTGGTCTCTGGAGCGGCGACCTGTAGAACATTGCTACTCCTTCCTATTCTGCTGCTGGATCAGGTTGCACTGGAATGCAACCAATTTAAAAACAGCACAAAAGAAGTGAGCAAAGAAAACCTATGCGTGTGCAATGACATAATGAGATGGAACATTAAGCCAAAGAGGTGTTGATAAATAAGCCTGGCTGAAAGCAGGTGTCTGAATGGCTGTAGCACAATGGCTGAGAAGAGACCAAAGAAACCTGATTTGAATCTGTTAAATTTGCCTTGTGATTAATTTATTTCCAAAAGAATTAGGAGAGATCAAGGATGACTGATGTTTTCCTGAGGTACAATGAGATGCTCAGCTCTGCAGGGAAGGAAGCATTTTGCTTTGAATTCCCAAAGATGTTAGTGCTGCACTTTAATGAACACAGATTCACAAGCATTTAGTAAATAGCTTTCAGCTGCATCTCTGCACCAAGTCTCTCTCTCTGTTGGGATGGTAGCAGGAACAAGGGGATGTCTTAACTAGTTATAACATAGCTGTATTCAACAAGCTGCCACCCCTACCCCCCAGCCCTATGTTCAACATAGAGTACAGCATGCAGTAGCAACAGCCTTTAATGGATGGGCACCTCTCCAATATCTGGGCTCCTTAGGGATGAATTAGTGATCTTTTTATAGAGGAAATATGGTATTGATTTACTTGCCTCTGTTCTGAGACCAAAAGTTAACCTCTGAAAATGTTGAGCAAGAAGAAAGAAACTTCCCACCCCAGAGAAGAGCACCGTATTCCATTTCTTCTTGTGAGAAAGCTGGTTGTTTGACAACCCAACAACAGCCAGGCTTTTTGGGTGCAGTACTTTTTTTTAAAGGACACTAGGTAGTTTCTAACTTGGTCTGCCAGCAGTCAAGCTAATGGTTCCCGGTCCCCATGGACAAAGTCTGTTAGAGGCCAACACTGCACTTTGGCAGCAGCCTGAAGAAGAGTAACAGTGGGGAAGGCTGAGAGCAGCTCCCCCACTTGTACAGTGCCCCAGTGTAAGGTGGAATCATCACACTGGCCTGAATCAACGAGGCTTTTGGATAAGAAGGACTTCAAGGGGAGCTCCAGTTGTAGGTACTTTGGCTAAAAAGAACTTGGGAACAATTGACCCAGGTACCTCCCTTTTCTTCCACCTCTTCCCCATCCTAAGTTACAATGGGATGGGACACATTTTATTTCTAGTGTAATGCCATTTATGAAGGTCAGGGGCTAGCTATTCCACTAACCTGAGGTAGTCTCAGGCAACTGAACAGTATTGTCTCTATTACAGATATATCATTTTAACTATGGGAAGAGCTAAGGGAAGAGGTCACTGCAAGAAGAAAACATGTTCTTCATTGGGGTTGGCTAAGAAGCATTAGTGACTCCAGTTTGGGATAGTGAAGACAAAGAAATCTGGGGTTTAACCCCAATTACCATCACAATTTGAAGCTTAGCGGAGAGGCTTGAGTAAAAACCCAGATCTCGGCTCTTCACTGCAATGCTACCCTGAGTTACAGCACTTGGGTTAAACAATCTGAATTAACATCCACTTTTTTGTGGTGTAAGACACATTCTTTGCAGGTAAAGCAATATAGTTCCTCTAGTGTGGGCCTTGCTATCTTGGTATAAGTACAGCTATTTCTGTTTGGAAAGTAATTAAACTAAACCAAAAAAGTACCATTAGATTAGCATAACTGCATCCATGCTAGGGATGGAATTATTTTAGTCAGACACACGTCTCTAATAGAAACTGGTCTACTGGTACAAATCCAGCTATATGGCAGGCCTAAAGCTCAGCCTCCTGTGGCGGCAACTGAACACAAGTCCCAGGCTCAGCCCAGAGCCTTAAAGTGAACCTGTAGTTTTGTCTAAACTGTTACTTTACTTTAAGGTTATTTTCATTAGGAGAATCCAACACTAGTGCTCATTAGGAGATAGATGCAAGATACAACAAGGGATTAAAGATATCCAGGTGCATGGAGATCAGTGGTTTAAGAAACCACTGGGAACCATTCAAGGCAAAGCAAAGCTGAGGAAGCCAAGGGAAGCAGGCAGACACCCAAAGGAACTCTGAAAGAGTAAACCTTTTATTGAGAAGAGCTGGTGCTTGTGAGGAGCTACAGCTAGATAGTTCCTGGGTAAAGCATCCTGCCCTGTGCTGAAAACACCTGCACTTAATGTCAAAGAAGAAAGGGCTTCTTTATTTTGGACCAGGACTAACTTAAAAGAGCCCCAGAGTTCA